TGCTGAAAGATTTGTCAGCAAACCACACCTTTCATAGGTCACAGCAGTGTGGTAGGTACCTCCTACCCTGCTTTCTGTAGCCACCTTCTTTTGCTGCCTTCTACACAGGGAGGGAGGTCTTCCTTCAACTATGGAAATATCCAGTAGTTTCATCACCTGTCGCTACTAAAATACTGAAAGCTCACATTAAGTTGAAAGTAAGTTTTCATTGGCACCAATTTTCCACGAGCCTTCCCTGTCCCTTAATGAAGAATCCATCTGAAAACTACAAATATGCCCGAGATTTCTCATTTCATTCAGAACACCATCAACGCCTGGCCACAGGAACATTACGAAATCAAATTTGAATTCAGAGTAGAGAAAACAGCATTAAAGTGTGACAGGCTTTTTGTTGGCTGTGTGTTTTTAAAGAAACCAGATGCTCCTGCTTCTCCAAAATATAAATAAAACAGAACCCAGAGATGCTTGCTCTGAACATACCTTAAATATATCAAGTGTGTACTGGGCTACAAGAAACAAAGAACTAAAATTCGCCTTTAATAGCATGTTGTATCTCACAGGGGAGTTACACAGCATACCGTTCTCCTGAAATTTCTCACAGGAGAGTTACCCAGTATACTGTGTCCTGAAATTTCTTCTGCACAATCCCCACATTAGGAAATGCCATTATCCCCTTATCTCCTTTACCACTTTTCTGGCAGATTCTGGCAACATTATGAGCCACCATGAGGTCTTGTTCTGTAGAGTTTAATTTATTAAAAAATAACAATAGCACCACAAAAACTTTGTTTGCTGAAAATGAAAGTGAAAGAAAAAACCAAAACCTCATCACTCCTCCAGTTTATTAGAAAACCCTAAAAGGAGCGTGAAGGATTGAGTAGAAGGCCCGAGACGTCGATTCTCTTCTTCCCTATGCATACGTGTCCCCCTTTAGAAGGATGACAGCGAATAAGCCAGGCTCTCACTGGTAGTACTCGAAAACGAACAAAACAGCCAGTGTATCCCAGCTGAATGAAATGTTCTCAATAATGATGACTAACAACTTGTAATGGATTCAAATTAGCTAACTAGAAAATCTTTGTTTAAAGTCCCTCATTCAGAAGATGGCTCAGTAGTATCCCAAGCTGCTGTCACCCCAGGAGACAGGAGCCAGAGAGGCAGCTAGCTAGGTGTACACGGTGACGATGAGGCACCTCCACCGGACTGCTCCGTGTGCAGTAGTGCACAGTGCACACTCACAGAGATCTAAGAGGTGACTGCTCCGTGTGCAGTAGTGCACAGTGCACACTCACAGAGATCTAAGAGGTGACTGCCCCGTGTGCAGTAGTGCACAGTGCACACTCACAGAGATTCAAAAGGCCAATTCAGTCAGCACCTGGGATGTGGGGAAAGGAGGATCAGGTGTTCAAGGCCAGCCTTGGCTATATCGTGAATTCCAGGCAAGTCTGGGCTACAGAGTGACAGCCTGTCTCAAAAATCACACTTCCCAATGTCACAAGTTAAGGGAAAACTACAATAATTTAAAACATTTGATATTAATTTGAATCTTGCTCACTCTTCATTGTAAGTATAGAGGGCAAAAAAATAGTGGCAGAAAAGCCTGGCTAATCTAAAACTGGACAATGGACTGTGAATAATGTCTTCTGAGCAAACCAGACACCTGCTTTAATCAGCACATCGCCCTCCACAGTATGGCTTCTAGTTCTGTGGACTTGCAGGTATGATCAAACTGTAGACACTAAAGTAGGTAATGTATATACACACGCTGACATTTTACCAACTCGTTAGAGCTGATGTCCCACTGTGCTTTAGTTTCTATTAATATTCTATATTTAGATTTAATTATATTAACCTAAAGTCATGAATCTGGTTGTTTGAAATAATTCATGTACCTTCTTCAATAATTTGCCCTCCAATCTATGTCACTATCTTCAGCTGAATGAAACCAAGTATGGCTGACTGCAATGAGATGTCAGCTCTGTCACCACAGGATGAGCAGTAGGACTCTGCTTCACGAGCACTGACACCCCACAAGGACATCAGTACTGCCACATTCTCCAGACCTCCCGATACACCAGTACTACCACATTCTCCAGACCTCCCGATACACCAGTACTACCACATTCTCCACACCTCCCGATACACCAGTACTACCTACCACATTCTCCAGACCTCCCGATACACCAGTACTACTACATTCTCCACACCTCCCGATACACCAGTACTACCTACCACATTCTCCAGACCTCCCGATACACCAGTACTACTACATTCTCCAGACCTCCCGATACACCAGTACTGCCACATTCTCCAGACCTCCCGATACACCAGTACTGCCACATTCTCCAGACCTCCCAATACACCAGTACTGCCACATTCTCCAGACCTCCCGATACACCAGTACTGCCACATTCTCCTTCTGAGACTTCTACCACGGAACAATCCATCATCATGCGGAGGGCGGCTCACCAGAATTATTGAATGTGAAAGAAACACTCAACTGTTTGAGAGAGAACATCTAAGTGAAACCACAAAAATGGATCTAAAAATAGGCAGTATGTTCAACAGAAAATTCAGGTCCTATAAGTGAAGTATGTGTGAAAGACTTAACTCCAACCATTTGTTACCCAGGAACTGACCCTACAACCTCGGCAAATATGCAGATACATGCTTAAGTATGACAATAATAAAATTAATGCTGCTACAGTGAACTGAAAACAACCTAAATGCCCATTCAGTAAAAACTGATGTATTGCCATGTAGTGATGGCACACACCTTTAATCCTAGCACTAGGGAGGCAGAGGCAGGCGGCTTTCTGTGAGTTCAAGGCCAGCCTGGTCTACAGAGCGAGTTCTAGGACAGCCAGGGCTACACAGAGAAACCCTGTTTTGAAAAACCCAAAAAGAAGGGGAAAAAAACCTGACATATTATTTTAAGAAAATAGAATGTTGCACTTATATAATTCTTCGCTAGTGTGGCAACACCATTATATAAAGTTTAAAGGGAAAAAGCAGATTAAAAAACCACGTACATCATGAACAGCACGCATGGAGAATACAAACGGTGGTTTTCCCTCACCGAATGGGGCCAAAAAAAGCTAATTTTAACTTTCTACAAAAATTATTAATACAGCTTAAATTTAAAAGGCACATATATTTTTTTCTTTGAGACTAGAAAATATTCCCTTCATGTTGGAAAAAAAAGTACATTTATTTTTAATATCATTGTTCCTTTTAGGAGAAATTATCTCAGGAAAAATTCATGATGCTATAGATTCAGAAGTATTTATCACAGCAGTGTTTATTATAGTAAATACAAGTAATAAACTAAATGATCAATAGTGAGTTTATTACATTATAAAATAACTATATAATAAAGTAGCATATTATAAAACAATTAAAAATTGGTGAAACAAGATCTTGGGGACAAAAAAAGGAAAGGTTATGGTGCCACAGTGATGAGTTTGTGTGTCAAGCTGACAAACTATAGCGTGTCCTGGTTATCTGAATTGTCAACCTGACAAACCTAGAGTCATCTGAGAAGAAAGGCTCACCCGAGGGATTTCTCAGCTCATCCTGGCCTGTGGGCATGCTTATGGGGGCTATCTTGATTATTAATCGATGCAGGAGGATGACAGCTGTGGACGACACCATCCCATAAGCTAGCTAAGCATGAACCTGGGAACAAGCAAGCAGTGTTCCTTCACGGTTTTTGTTTCAAATTCTTGTCTTGAGTTCCTCTCCTGACCTCCGCCGATGAGGGACTGTAACCTGGAAGTATGAGCCAAATAAATCTTTCCCTCCCCCAAGTTGCCTTTGCTCCGTGTTTTATTGCAGCAACAGAGAGTATTAGAACACGGTGGCATGCTTGTAATCCCGTACTAGGGAAGGAAAGGTGTGAGGATCAGGAATTCAAGGCCAGCATGGACTACATAAGATCCTGTCTCAAAACAACCATATCTAAAAATTAAGATAATGATGCTTGGTGTGGTGACTCATATCTGTAATCTAGAAGCAGGAGCAAAAGGCTCATAAGTTTCAGGCCAGCCTGGATGACAGAACAAGTTCAAAGTCAGCCTGAGCTATGCAAGAGACCTTGTCTCAAAGCACCAAGGGGGGCTCAGTGGTATCCGTGTACTGTTCAGCTTCCTTTCAAACCATTTGCCTTTATTTTGAAAATTACGTAGTGGCTGGCAGGACATCTCAGTGGGTAAAGGTACCTGCTGGTGCTGCCAAACCTGGGCACCTGTTTGATTCTTAGAGCCACCTGGGGGAAGGTGAGAACCTATTCTGATTCCTACTCATGCACTCCAGCATGCGTGCACCCACAGACATATGTGCACATGAGCTAAATAAAAATGTAACAAAGCTTGTTTTAGAAACTACTTTGCTATATGCTTTGTAACATATTTCAAGGTAAGTATTCAATAAAGCAATCTATCTAGTTACGAAAATATAATCTAAGATCAGATGAGGAGTGACTGTTCTGCAGATGAAGTCCTGAGTCTGGATCAGCAGCACCCATGTGAAAGGCAGGCATAGTGACAAACATTTGTAATCTCAGTGCAGGCAGGGGATCCAGGGCCTCAATGGCTAGCCAGCCTAGCCAATCAGTAATCCAGGCTCAGTGAGAGACCCTGTCTCAAAAAATGAGGTGAGGACCAACAGAAGAAGACACTGGATGTCAACCTCTGGCCTGCACACATGATAAATGCATAATCACACACGTAAGTAGATACATGCATACAACATATATACGCACAGTTTAAAATGAAACACTCACTTATGCATATAGAAAAAAAACAGCTGTACGGTAGATCCAGGCCAACATGAATGCCTGTGGCACTGGATCATATCCCAATAGCAGCCACCGAGACTGAGCTGTGTTCCCTACTTTACTGAACAACCAAATACCTTGCACCACATACTAGCTTTCTTTATCAGCTTTCCTACTACTGTGCCAACACACATTTTGTTCGTTTGAAGTCTTTAAAACCAACCTGCCATGGTCTTTCCCAGTCCAGTGGAATAGGAAATGCTCCAAGCCATGCTCCTATAAAACTTGAAATTGTAGTGATCTGAAGACTGTTCTCCCAAATGGAGGTAACTCTGTAAGACACAAAACACAAGTTATTGGCAATTTATATTACAGCAACTAGAAAAATCACACAAGCACTAGCACAAATTGATGCTACACACATTTCTCACCCATTTACATAATCAACACAAACTGGCATAGAAACATGAAGATAACACACGTATTTCCACTTAAAGGTACTGCGTGTGCACTGTGAGAGGAGACAGTCCCAAAGAGTGCTGTAATAACAAGTATGTTTTCATATCACACCTCCTGAGTCCTTCCCCACAGCAACGTTCATTTCCAAATGATTATGTTCCTCTCCAGAAAGAGTCTGTGCAGGTGTACACACACACACACACACACACACACACACAATTTTATCTTAAAGTGCATATGCATATCTACATAAATAAAATGTGTGTGTGTGTGTATATATGGATGTAGAATAGTTTTCTCAACTCATCTTCATGCCATATTTTATTCAATATGACTGCATCTAGTGCAAGCCGGGAAACAGGCTGGAGAAGTGGGTCAGAGTTTTATACAACTTCAAGCCAGTTGTGGTAGCTCACACATGTAATTCCAGCACAAAGGAGGCTGAGACAGGAGGAATACTACAAGATCAGGGTTAGCTTGGACTATGCAGCAAGTTCTAGTCCAACCTGGGATATTGTTAAATAATGACTTTATTGAGTATAGCAACAACAGCAAAAACAAACAAAAAACCCTAGGAAATACTGTTCTAGTCACATAATTTACTAATCGAAAATTTATAATGCAATGGTTTTGGGGATAGTCAGTATTACATATTTATCACCAGACATATTAGAATATTTTAATCACTATAAAAAGAGACTCTTCATTCATATGCAACTACTCTCCTTTCCCCTTCCCCATAGCCCAAAGCAACTGAATTACTTTATGTCTATGGATCTGCCTATTCTAAGTATTTCACCTAAGTGGGCTCAACTGACATGAATTCTTATGCTAATTCCTTTCACTTAGATCTTTTCAAGGGTCATCTATGGTGTAGCATGTATAGACACTTCAATCATGTCACTGGATCATACTCCCTTGAATGGACACTAAAGATTTTATTTCTCCAATCAAAAGGTGGTTAGCATCTGGGTTGTTTCTACCTTTTTTTTTTTTTTTTTTTTTTGGCTATTAAAAAAAAAACTGCTGCTAGGAACATTTGTGAACAAATTTCTGTATGGAAACATGTTCTCGTCTCTCTTGGGATTATACCTAGAAGGAAATAGCTGGGTCACCTGCTATTTGAGGAACTGACAGTTTTCCCAAGCAGTTAAAACATTTGATTTTCCCACGACTTGAGGGTGAAGGTTCCAGTTTTTTACATCTTCCTAGTTATCTGTGGATTCCAGTCTCTAGCCAGTGTGAAGTGGGAGTATCTCAATGCAGCAGACTTATGGTTCAGGCTGCATTCAAGTCATGCTATAGAAGTCACTGAAGGATTGTAATCAGAGCCACTGGTGCCAACAAAGATGCTCCTCACAGTTTCACTATTCCGCACAGTGTAACCAACTTTTGCTTATTAAAATAAAAAGTGCAAACATCCAAGAGGTTTTCAGTTTTGATTGTTCAGCGTATCCATGATTGTTTGTGATCCTACATACTATAAACATCAAAAAATACGGAACGAAGACCTATACAAAACTATAAAAATTCTGCAGTCTGTATTTTAAGTGAATGCATTTATCAAAATAACTTATGTAACTTTTTATTGCTTTTATTGAGCTATATATTTTTATCTGCTCCCCTCCTTTTTTCTCCCCTCCCCGTCTACCCTCTGCCATGATCCCTATGCTCCCAATTTACTCAGGCGATCTCGTCTTTTTTACTACCCATGTAGATGAGATTCATGTATGTCACTCTTGGGGTCCTCATTGCTGTCTGGGTTCTCTGGGATTGTGACTTGTAGGCTAGTTTTTATTTGCTTTATGTCTAAAGCCACTTATGAGTGAGTACATATGATATTTTTCTTTCTGGGTCTGGGTTACCTCACTCAATATGATGTTTTCTAGCTTCATCCATTTGCCTGCAAATTTCAAGAGTTCATTGTTTTTTTTCTGCTGGACTCTATTGTGTAAATGTACCACATTTTCCTTATCCATTCTTCGGTCGAGGGGCATTTAGATTGTTTCCAGGTTCTGACTATGACAAACAAAGCTGCTATGAACATAGCTGAGCACATGTCCTTGTTGTATGATTGAGCATCCTTTGGGTATATACCTAAAAGTGGTATTGCTGGGTCTTAAGGTAGGTTGTTACGTAACATCTTTAAAGTCAAAGACAACAATAAGAATAAAAGTCTCCTCCTCTACCTGATCTCTACACCCTATACAGATGCTTCCAATTAAACATATATCACATATAAATATATACTTATATATTAAGTATATACATATTGCATGCCTTATATTTCAAGATGTCATTACTTTCTGCGTTTTACTGTAGAAGACATAGCTCCTTTTATCCACAAGCTTCCGTGTCAACGTCTCCCTCTGTCATCTCTTCAATACTAAAACTGCCCCCTTTAGCTGAATGGATAACAAGTGTTTTTGTAATAACCATAGAGCAAACCACAATTACATGTCTGTTCTCTTAATAAGTACAATTTTTAATTTTCCTCAGGTGCTTAGAGCTGTTCCCCCCCCCCCCACACACACACCTGTTTATCTCCGTCACTAACTCATCTTAAACACTGAAAAGGAAAACTATCTCAGTAGTACTCTAGATGTTTGCTTCCTCTCTCTGCTCCCCTTTCTCTCTGAAGTGTCTCACTCACTCCTATCTGGTTGCTCTCAGCCTGCTGACAGCTCAGTCCTCTGAGGATCCTGCACTATCATCTTGGAATTTCCTTGTCTCGGGACCGCTGCTCTGGGATCAATTGCCTGGGTTCAGAGTCAGATCTTGATCCATTCTCTCATTCCCTCTCTCTCCTCCATCCCCCATCACCTTTCCTTCTCTTATCAAAAATAGGTTTGAAGAGATACTTTACATCTGAAAATGACTTTATTATGACTGCCACAAATATTTGCCTCAGATTTTTGGAAAGCACTGTTCCCTTGGGTCCTGGTTCCCACCGAAAGGTTCAGTATCATTCCACTCCCTTTCCTACAAGTAACATGCTTTCCCCACTCTCTGGAAGATTCTAAGCATCTCGTTACCCCTGGTTATCTTACATTTCACATACAAAAAAATCATTTTGTCTGAATAAGAATTTTTTCCAACTCATCTCTACTTGTGTTTTTTTCTATAGTATTTAGTTCATTTTCCAAGAGTTCCAATACTGCTGAGTATTCCCTTTACACACACAAAAAGATGCGGTTATCTTCTGCTCATTCTATTGTCTCTCTTTTATTGTGTCTAGATTTCATTTGAGGTTAGATGGTGTAAGCCGAGTTTCCTGAAGGAGGAGAAGGGTTGCAGGTAAGAGCAGATTCACTGGTGTGTAGAGGTTCATTTAAGCCTTATCCCCTGAGGAAGCTGAACATATCGCAACATTACGGCTAGCTGGAACACCTGAGGCTTTGAGGGGTACAATTATATTTCTCATTCCTCTTCTTCCATTGAACAACTTGTTTGTGTTACTTTACAGTGTCTTCTGCTCTACACCTCTAACTCATTCAAGTATTCTCTTGGTGTAATGAGCCTCTTTCCTAACTTCTCTTCTTACAACAGAAGCACGTGGAGTCTTAGGTGTGAGCCTCCCTTGTCCTTTCTCCATATCTGTCAGATGTTCCCTAGTAACTTCATGCTTCCCAACCCTTTCCTTACCCTTCATTTATTTTGACTGGCTCAAACCTTTCCTTCACACTAAAATTTGATTTTCCAACTTACTTTATGCTTCTCAATATTTCTTTCATTGTTTTGTTTTGTTTTTGAGACACTGTCTTCCTATGTAGACCGGGCTTTGACATCTGCCTCTGCCTCCGAAGTGCTGGGAACAAAGGTGTGCACCACCCAGCCGCTTCTTGACATTTCTAAAATATGTTTTAAAGATGTTCTTTAGGTTCTGAATTTATGGCACTGATTCTGCAGTCTGGTCTCCTTCATTTTGGCTCATTTTCTCATCTTTGCTCTTTTTACTAAATTAATATACTTAATAACATTTTTCTATGGTAAATCGTATGAAAATGTTTGGTTTTGGTCCAGGGACATGTTCTCCTGGAACACATTGTTCATTGCCTGTGCACATGTCCCCCCCCCCCCACCCCATGACACCCACCCTCACAGTTGTGTGCCATGTCTATTTCTCTTTCTCACACTTTCCACTGACAACCTGTCGAGGCTACCTATTTGCTCAGAAATATAACAAATGAATTCTCTTTGGTGCTGTCTTTTCATCTTAACTGGCTCCAATTTTTCCTGTTGTGAATCTGCATTTTGAATGCTGGGTGTTATTTTCTACCTGTGGCTTTTGTTGCTGTTGTTGTTTATCTTAAGGCAAAGGGAAAGAATGGTGAAGACCAAGGTAGATGCTACCTCTGTGACTCAACAGTAATACTCAGCTAAAGTGGAGTAAATGGTAGCTCCATGGTTCACACTTTAAAAACTCCTGGCCAGGGTTTATACATCCTTTTAGAAACCAGACGAGGCCACTGTGGAGCCATCTGTGTCCTTGGCAGGGGCCCAGGAGAAAACAGCTCTTAGAGTCATAAAAGACAAGGAAAGCTGACAATGAGTCAGAGAATGGCTGTTGTGTTGGTGAGAAAATCTATGTAGCTGTATATACATTCTTCACATTAGGACCCGAGTCTGACAGTGTCAACCAGCTGCCTTTGGTCCCTGCGTTCTACTCCAGCAGCCTAGTTCACAAACCCTTCCCTAAGTTTTGCTGAAACAAATATGTGCACTACACTGCTCACATTGTTCCAAGAAACCCTTGCTTAAGTTTGGTGGAACAAAGATGTGCACCACCTGATTTACAGCTGGGAAAATCTGATAACTTTCAACAGTAAACCAATCCCAGAACAATTTTAGTGATATGAATACTAGACTAATT